CTTGCTAGCCAAGGGCCTCCCTGACTTAGGAACCGGTTCCCCACCTGCCATAGTTGCGTACCTGAGATAAGGCCCGGTGAGCCTCCTGAAACTGCCAGGTCAGGCTATAATTTACTGGCTCCTGCACCATAAACCTGTCCTACCTTGCGCTTGTGATTTGCTAATCCCTGAGGGCCTAAGATAAGAGTGTGCACCCCGAAACTCCTCAAAACTGCCTCATTACTGCCTTGCTAAATTTAGGGCATAAAAATAGGGAAAGACCTATAGGAGGAGCAGAGCCTGTCTCTGGAGACACGAGTCCGGTCAAGCCCGCATGCATAAGTAAACAGTGCCTTTGTAACACCATTAGCAATAGCTGCAGCTAGGCCAGACTGAGGAAGCCATGAGGCTGGAACTCAGTCCAGGTCTCCCATGAATGTGGCAGGCACCCTACTACTTGAGACATCACCACCTCCTCCAGGGCCTGCCTTGGGAAGATGGAGCCAGGGGCCGGAAACCAGGAGCTGAACCCCGGGACTCTGATGTGGGCTGTGAGCTTCTTAACTACTGGGCTAAACGGAGCCCTGGTAATCTGTGCACGCTGACCGGAGGTGTGGGCCTGGGAGGAGTGGGCGTGATCACCCACAGGGAGGCACGCCCTGGCTCTCTGCACATGGCTCATGCGAAAGATGCCAACGGCTGGTTCTCTGACATTTGTATTTTTGGCAAAGGCAGCAAACTTGGGTTTCTCTGCTGAAGCGAGAAGGGTAAGACTGTGGTGGCCACACAGAGCCGAGGGTGACATGGTCTCTAGTGACAAGCCGGAAAGGTCCTTGTTCTTTTTTTTTTTTTTCTTTTTTTTCTTTTTTTGACAGGCAGAGTGGACAGTGAGAGAGAGAGACAGAGAGAAAGGTCTTCCTTTGCCGTTGGTTCACCCTCCAATGGCCACCGCGGCCGGCACGCTGCAGCCGGCGCACCGCGCCGATCCGATGGCAGGAGCCAGGAGCCAGGTGCTTTTCCTGGTCTCCCATGGGGTGCAGGGCCCAAGCACTTGGGCCATCCTCCACTGCACTCCCTGGCCACAGCAGAGAGCTGGCCTGGAAGAGGGGCAACCGGGACAGAATCCGGCGCCCCAACCGGGACTAGAACCCGGTGTGCCGGCGCCGCTAGGCAGAGGATTAGCCTAGTGAGCCGCGGCGCCGACCCAGGTCCTTGTTCTTCATTAACAACAGCACAGAGCAGGCACTTGGCTCAGGCGCTCAGGCGTTGTCACGCCAGACACCCGCTTTCCATATCAGAGAGCCTGGGTTCAAGTCTCTGCTTCATTTCCAATTAATTCCAGCTTCCCGCTAAAGCGTGCCCTGGGAGGCAGTGGTATAACCGTAATAAACAGCTTCTTTTCCTTTTCCTTCTTTTCACATTTTTTAAAAAATTTTATTTGAAAGGCAGAGTTACAGAGAGAAAGACAGAGAGAGGTCTTCCATCTGCTGGTTCATTCCCCAAATAGCTGCAACAAGCTGGGGCTGGGCCAGGCTGAAGCCAGGAGCCAAGAGCTTCCTCTGGGTCTCCCACGTGGGACCAGGGGCCCAAGCACTTGGGCCATCTTCTACTGCTTTCCCAGGCCATAGCAGAGAGCTGGATCAGCTGGCAAAAGAGATACCAGGACTGCAGACAGCAGCTTAACCCCTAAGCCACAGCCCCAGTCCCTGTATTTTCTGTAACAAAAGCCAGCCACTGATATCGTGCCTACTCCTGTGAATAGTAACATCTGCATAAGAATTTCAGGAGCCCCTCCCTCCCAGGGGAGGTGATTTGGCATGGTGGACTTTGGCCCAGTTCACCGAGGAGCCTCCGCCAGTTGACCCTGAGCCCCAGTGTCCAGAGGCCCCCACCAGGTGGATGCCCTGGACCTCCCCATAGGCGCTGAGTGGACCCTCATCAGAACAAAGGCTGAACACCTGCACAGCTGCCAATGGAACAGACTCATTGTTTTATGTCTAACCCCACCCTGCAACTATCTCTGTCCCTTTAAAAACTCCTCTTTGGGGGGAGGGAGGTCGGCGCTGTGGCATACCGGTTAAGACACCACCTGCAGTGCCAGCACGGGCGCTGGTTCGAGTCACGGCTGCTCCACTTCCAATCCAGCTCTCTGCTATGGCCTGGGAAAGCAGAAGATGGCCCAAGTGCTTGGGCCCTGCACCCACGTGGGAGACCTGGAAGAAGCTCCTGGCTCCTGGCTTCGGATCAGCTCAGCTCTGGCCATTGCGGCCAATTGGGGAGTGAACCAGCGGATGGAAGACCTCTCTCTCTCTCTTTCTCTCTGCCTCTGCCTCTCTGTAACTCTGCCTTTCAAATAAATAAATAAATCTTTAAAAAAACATATGGTCTTAATATTTTCAAAATTCACCAAAATAACTCAAACAGGCAAATAACTGGAAATGAGGAAAGAAAAGACTTAAGGAAGGAGGATGACTAATAAAAGAGAACATTTCAGACAGAAATTACAAAGAAAATGGAAAGGAGCTTCTTCTTGAATAACAAAGGCAAAACTATTTCTAGACTTGCAAAACATCAATTCAGATGCAAAGGGCACAGCAGGCTCGGGACCGGGCTACAGTCCTGAAATTCCAGAGCACTGAGGGTAAAAAAGAGGATCCTACAACTCCAGAGAGAGAGGAGAAGGAAAACCCTAGGGATCACAGGCAGAGAGAGTGCAGGGGCTTCAAACCGTTCATGGAAAGTGAGTATCACGAAAAATGATGTTGGCAATTCAAAATGTTTTGCACCAAAACGAACTTATCTTTTAATTCCACTTGCCATGAGCTTTTGGAAGCACTGTCTCGCGTTACTGAAGAATCCATTCTTATTCCTGACTCATAGCCCAGGTCAGAGGTAGAATCCGGGGCTGTAAGTACAGCTCTGCAAACATCTTCATGGAGTTTGACTCAAGAGTTCCAGGGGGCAGCTGAGGTCCCTGCATCACATCTGCATCCCAGCATGGGGAGGAGGGAGAGACCTATCAGATGCTGGTTCTGTGGGACACAACCTGGCCGTGGAGAGTGTAATTTCAACTCGCACCCCACTCACCAGAAAGCATTGCAAGGCCAGCCTCCAACGAGGCTGCAGGGCAGGTGCTCTTTTGCTAAAGAAAAAAAAAATGGGTATTGTAAGACAGAGGCCTGTGCCACAGACAGGAATTAAAGGACCTGTCTTCCTTCACAGCCCCACTGGACACTGCCTGGGAGGGAAGGGGCGTGTACCCTATCGTGAATGCCATACGGCTCCAATCCCAAAGGTGGGGTCCACAAAGACCTGGACATGCCCCTAGAAGCTTCTGGAAGTTCTTGAGTGGTGTGTTCTAATTAACACGGGGCAGTTCAAGAGAAAGGAACACCTGGATTCCGGGAAGTAGGCCTGGGGTGGGAGGGAGGCTAGGGGAAAATCTAACACACTGGATCACTGGCAGCAAACTACCACCGGGAATATTCTAGGTCCAACGCAGCAAGTGGAGAAAGAACTTTAAGGATAAACAGGTGAAAAACACATGAACTTTAAAAGATGGCAACTACTAGGGCCGGCATTGTGGTGCAGCGGGTTCAGCCAGCAACACCTGGCATCGCATGAGTTCTGGGTTCAAGTCCTGCTAACGCGCTTGGGAAAGCAGTGGAAGGGGGCCCAAGTGCTGGGGCCCCTGCACCCACGTGGGAGACCCAGATGGAGTTCCAGGCTCCTGGCTTCAGCCTGGCCCAGTCCCGGTGGTTGTAGCCATTTGGGGAGTGAACCAGCAGATGGAAGATCTCACCCTCTTCAGCCTGTCTGTCACTGTCTTTCAAATAAATAAGTAAATCTTTAAAAATAAAAAAATAAATAAATGAAAAGTTTAAAAAGGCAATTACTAAGTTAGGAGAAATCTGGGGAAAAAGTACACAGGAGGGAATGTTTACATATTCAGGACACTCTCTGGCATTATGCTAAATGTATGTTCATGGCATATTAATGAAAACAGATTACTGAACAAACCCAGAACCGTGATACAACTGTATGAAGCCCAAGGGGTGTGGGGGAGGGGACGTGTGTATGGGAGTGGGGTTCCTGTTAAAGAGGCCAATTGTCAAATACCATTACAGGCTTCCTGAATTATACAGGAATCAGGAAGCAGCAGAAAATTCAACTCTATTCAGAGTAAGGGAACTACAATGGAAATAGCTCAGCCTACCAGGCTGGTGAGACCGAGCGTGAGAACGCGCTCTCTGGACAAGGCTGCGGGGAAGCCGGCAGGCTCCTGCTTTGCTGGTACTAGAGACTGGCCTGATTCCTGATGAGGGCCATCTGGCCGCATCTCTCAACATGACAAACACGTACACCCTGTGACCCAGCACTTCCCACTATGGAAATTTATCTTACAGACACATGCAAAGTAACATCTGTGCGTGTTTATGGACTACAGTGTGTTTTGTAAAAAGAAATACTGGAAATAATGAAAACGTCCATCCGTTTAACAAATAAAGAGGACGCTATGTTCATCCAGGCTGCCGTGACATAGAACCGTAACTGCGTGGCTTGGGCAACCAATGCTTATCTCCCCCCAGTTCAGTTCTCACACAAGTGTGGAACCAGGGTGCCAGCAGCATTATACGTTTTTCCTTTTTTAAAGATTAATTTACTTTTTATTTATTCAAAAGGCCAAGTTACAGAGAGACACAGAAAGACACTGTTTACTCCCCAGATGCCCACAATGGCCAGGGTTGGGCCAGGCTGCAGCCAGGAACCAGGAACTCCATCCAGGACTCCTGTGTGAGTGGCAGAGATCCAAGTACTTGAGCTACCACCTGCTGTTTCCCCAAGTAAGCAGCCGCAGGAGGCTGGATTAGAAGTGGAGCAGCCAGAACTTGAGCCACGCACTCTGATACGGCATCTCAAACACTTAGCTAGTGCACCACAATGCTGGCCCTCATCTTCTAAAACACTTCTTAATCTACTTTGCTTTTTAATCTCAGAGAGAGAGAGAGAGAGAGAGAGAGAGAGAGAGAGAGAGAGAGAGAGAGATCTGTCTTTTGGCTCACTGCCCAAGTGTCTGCAACAGCCAAGGCTGGAACAGGCCTACGCCAGGAGCCTGGAACTCAACACAGATTTCTCACATGGATAGCAGGAACCCAGCGTCCAGGGTCACCCATCACCTGCTCCCTTCCAGGGTGCACATAAGCAGGAAGCTGGGACTAGGAGCAGAGCCAGGACTTGAACCTTGGTGCTCTGAAATGGAACACAGGTGTCCTAAGTGGCATCTTAACCATTGAGCCAAAAGCCCACCCCTGCATATTCGTTATGTTTCATTTTAGAAGTACGTGAGATGTTGGGGCTGGCACTGTGGCCTCAGCCTGTGGCACCGGCATCCCATATGGGCACCGGTTCGTGTCCTGGCTGCTCCTTTTCTGATCCAACTTTCTGCTATGGCCTGGGAAAGCAGTAGAAGGTGGCCCAAGTCCTTAGGCCCCTGCACCCACGTGGGAGACCTGGAAGAAGCTCCTGGCTCCTGGCTTCGGATAAGCACAGCTCCAGCCATTACAGCCAACTGGGGAGTGAACCAGCAGATAGAAGACCTCTGTGTCTCTCCCGCTCTCTGCAACTCTACTTCTCTAATAAATAAAGAAAATCTTTTTTAAAAAAAGAAATATGTGAAATGTACTACTAATGTAAAAGGGTTTTCAAAAAAACAAAAGCAGCATAAAGTCATTATGCAGAAATATGGACGTAAACATGAGAGGAAGCAGCAGAAATGGCTGGAAGGGTTGTTTCTCGGAGGGGCAGCTGGGGAGTTCAGTGTTACTTAGTCCTAGATCACTGTAAGACCCTGTGTATGTGTTACTTTGACTTCAAAAAGTTTAGAGATCCGCAACAAAGTAGTTGTAACTGGAAAACTTTATACTTAGTGAAATAAGCCAGTCCCAAAAGGACAAACACCATGTATCCTCCGGATCTGTGGTAACTAACAGAGTGCCCAAGGCAAGCTATAGAAGTGAAATTGACACTTTGAGATGTAATGACCTTGAACAGCCCTTGTCTCAAGGGTTGAGGAAGGCTTTTTTTCCCCACACTATTTGTTGAACTCTTTACGTAGTATAAGGTTAATCTTACATGCATAAAGTTAATTGAAAATAGATCTTAGTAAAAAACAAGAATGGGAATAGGAGAGGGAGGAGGAAGAGGGTGGGAGTGTGGGCAGGAGAGCAGATAGGGTGGGGAGGATCATTGTGTTCCTAAACTTATACTTATGAAATGCATGAAGTTTGTATACCTTAAATAAAAATTTTTGGAGAAAAAAAATTTTTTATTAAAAGTTTAGAGAAAAAAAGTTATGGAAAGGGACCAAGCTTATATCTGATGAAGTGATATTGTGAGGGCTAAACACGTATCATGCATTGGAAAGCAGCCTAAAGGGGCTGGCATTGTGGCGTAGTAGGTAAAGCACCCTCTGCGATGCTGGCATCCCACATGGGCGCCGGCTTGTGTCCCGGCTGCTCCACTTCCGATCCAGCTCCCTGCTAGAGGCCAGGGAAAAGCAGCAGAAGACGGCCCAACTGCCTGGGCCCCTGCCATCTGCAGGGAAGACCTGGATGGAGCTCCAGGCTCCTGGCTTTAGCTATTGTGGGCATATGGGGAGTGAACTACTAAGTGGAAGATCTCTCTCTCTGTTGCTCTGCCTTTCTAATAGATAAACAAATACTTTTTAAAAATCCAGAGGTCACCTTTCACTCTTCCCCTCCGTTACCCTGCAGACCCCACAGTTGTCAGCTGCAGCTCTGGGCCTGGCAGGTTCTCTCATCAGCTGCCTGCTGCTTAACCGACTGTTCTCGCTGCTTCCAGTTAAAAGACCAAGCTCACCCTATCACTCCAAGCTAAGCTCTCAATACTGCGCCACCACCTTCCAAATACAATCCAAACCTCTATGACAGGAGCCCGCCTTAGCCAGCCCCTACCCACCTATATGCCTCATCTGCGTCTACCTCTTGCTCTACTCCCAAATGGAATGACATTTCGGTTTCTCAAAGGAACCCGATGCCTATTTCTCTTTTGCCTCTGAACCTTCACCTTTGCTGTTCCCTCTGCCACACACACTCTCCCCACAGTGAACTCCCCTCTCACCCTTCCTTCAGTCTAGAGATCTTTTCTCCAGAAAGTCCTGCCTGGCACACTGGGTGCGGGCTGGCACCTTTCTTGTCTGTCCCCAGAGTCCGTCAGCACAGCATCAGGTTGGCTCTAACTGAAGGCACCTGCTAGCATGTCAGGTCCTGTTATCCAGATGCAAATTCCCAAGGGCAGGGACTTTGCAGGCTCCCACACTGGAGCCCCAGCTCCTGGAACACAATAGGAGTGTCTACAGAATAAACCAATGGACTAGTCTCAAATAAGAACCAGGTCCAGGCTGACACTTGACTTTTCATCAAGTAGAAACTCTGACTAAATCTCTCCACCTGTGGCTGGGCTATGGCACAGTGCACTAAGCTGCACATCCCATAGGGGTGCCAGTCTGAGTCCAAGCTGCTCCACTTCCCATCCAGCTCCCTGCTAATGCTCCTGGGAAAGCAGCAGAAGATGAACCAAATACTTGGGTCCCTGCACCCACATGGGAGACTCAGAGGAAGCTCCTGGCTTCGGCCTCGACCAGCCCTGGTCATTGAGGCCATTTGGGGAATGAACCAGCAGATGGAAGACCTCTCTCTGTGTCTCCCTCTCTCTCTGTAACTCTGCCTTTCAAATAAATAAATAAGTCATAAAAAAAAATCTCTGCCCTTCTCTGAAAAGGTACAATACGAAGTCTGGTGATTTCATCCTTACAACTCCAAAGTGTCCAGGCGGTCCAAGCCGGCTGGCGCGCCAGATCTGATGGATAGTATCCAGCGCTAGGATCGGAGCTGGGTTCTACCTGAAGGTAGGCTGTGGGAGTGGCTTTCAAAGACACAGAAGAGCCTCCAGATCTCAGCTGGAAGGACTGGTGAGGAGGCGCAGTCCTCTGCTGGACAGAACCTGGTGCACAGACAGCCTCGCTGGTTTAATCAACTCTGACACCTGCGGCTGCAGGGGGCCGCTGTTCCCCTCAGCTCTGACAAGCGGCCACACGTGCCTTTCATCCAGCGAGATTCTATTTCCGAGCAAATGGGATAAAAGCCCATGGAACTTCCCAGAAGGAGGCATTGTTTTCTTCAGCCCGAAGTCTGCAATTTCTCACTCGACTGTCAATGGCAATGTTGAAGACGGGTGATTTCACCTTCAGCCGCTGTCCCCAGAACAAACGTCACCCCAGCGTCTGCACAGGGCACAGTTAGGAAGCAAAGCCGTGGCCAGTGTAGGAAAATGGCTAAAACAATATGTTTCTCCAGAGTGTGTCGCACCTGAAATAACTTAATCAGTGTCAGCCTGTGAAGAAGTTCTCCATGCTAGAGAGAACTAAGACTTCGGGAGAGTTTTCAGAAAAACTAGATTTCTTAGTTTTAAGTTTTCGTTATGTACATCTACCTCTCTGAAATTATTTATTTGAGAATGAGAGAGAGGAGAGGAGGGGAGAGGAGAGGAGGGGAGGGGGAGATGGAGGGGGTGGGGGGTAGAGAGATTGCCCATGAACTGGTTCACTTCCCAAATGCTCGCAAAGCTAGGTAGGACTTGGCTGGCCTAAAGCCAGGATCCAAGAACCCAATGCAGTTCTCTCATGTGGGTATCAGGAAACCAACATCCTTGCCGCCTTCCAGGGTGCACATCATTAGCAAGCACCTGGAATTGGGAATGGAGCCGGGACTCAAACCCAGGCACTGTGATGTGGATGTGAGTGGCCCAAGCACTGTTAACCACTACACCAAACACCCACCTCCAAAAATACCTTCGATCTATAAGATCCCTAAGTCTGGGGTTGGCGCTGTGGCATAGTAAGCTAAGCCTCTGCCTGCACTGCTGGCATCCTTTATGGGGGCCAGTTCGTGTCCCCGGCTGCTCCTCTTCTGACCCAGCACTCTGCTTATGGCCTGGGAAAGCAGTGGAGGATGGCCCAAGTGCTTGGACCCCTGCACCCACGTGGGAGGCCCAGGGGGAGCTCCCGGCTTGGGATCCGCTTGTATCCATCTGGGGAGTGAACCAGCAGATGGAAGACCTTTCTCTCCATCTCTTCCTCTCTCTTTCTGTAACTCTACCTCTCAAATAAATAAATAAAATCTTTAAAAAGAGCCTGGGAGCTATTCCCAAAATTTTTGTACAACAAATCAATATGAAATAAATGCATTTCGATTCCTGTTAAAGACGGCACATATGCTGGTTTGTTCCTCCTCTGGGGCTGTGGACAAAAGTGGTGTCAGCCAGGTTTCTCCAGGGTAAGGTTCCTCTTCCCTCCTCTGTACAGAGACTTTGAGGCCAATGAATTCCTGTCCCACAGGACACTTGCACCACTACGCTTAGCACCCAGTGTTGGCTACCCAGAGACACCCACCCTCCCTCCGATATTCCTGTGTGGAAGCTTGTTCACTTCTCTAAATCAGTATAGACTCATGGATTTCACGTATTCAAGGAGATCCATTAGTAGTGTTTATTTTGATGGTTGTGTTGATGCAGACCTGGCCAGTGGGAAGTCCTTAAATTTATTTTTAAATATTTATATATTTATTTATTTGAAAGGCAGAGTGACAGAGAGAAAAAAAAAAAAAAAAAAAGAGCCAGCCAGACAGAGGTCATCCATCCACTGGTTCACTCTCAGATGGTCAAAACAGCCAGGTCTCAGGCAAGCTGAAGCCAGGAGCCCAGAACTCCATCCCAGTCTCCCATGTGGGAGACTACTTGAGCCATCACCTGCTGCCTCCCAGGGTGTGCACTAGCAGGAAGCTGGCACTGGGAGCTGAGTCGGACCCTCTGATACGGGATGCAGGCAGTGCCCCTGCCCCTTCTGTCTTCTGGATCTGTCCCTGTCTACTACTGCCTCCTTCCTCTGACTACTTCAATATGTTCCAGCCTCCCCCACTTGATTTAAAACACACACACACAAACACTAAAATTACTTCCTTTCCCACGTTGGCTTTGCCTCTCCCTTACCACATGTCCCTGTCTTCTGGTCAAACTTCCAGAAAGCATTGCCTACTGCCATGGGGTGAATGTCTGTGGCCCCTTCCAAGTTCACGTTGACCTGTAATCCCCAAAGCAAGAGCATTAGGAAGCGCAGCCTTTATATGATTAAGTCATGACCATGGCACCCTCATTAATGGAGTCTATGCCTTCACAAAAGATCATTTATTATTTATTCAAAAGGCAGAGTAACACACATACACAGAGAGCGAGAGAGAGATACAGAGCTTCCATCTGCCGGCTCACTCCCCAAATGCCCACAACAGCCAGGACTGGGCCCGGCAGGGGCCAGGAGGAGGAGCAGCCTAGTGGTGCTGCAGGTTAAGCCACCACCTGAGAAGCTGGCTGCTCTCTTCCAACCCAGCTCCTTGCTAAATGTGCCTTGGAAGGCAGCGAAGAAGATGCTCCAAGTTCCTGGGCCCCTGCCACCCATGTGGGAGACCTTGATGGATTCTTGGCTTCAGCCTTGCCCAGCCCTTGGGTATTTCAGCCATTTGAGGAGTGAACCAGGGGATGGAAGACTGGTCTTCTCTCTGTGTCCCTCTGTCTTTCAAACAAATAAGTAATCTTTCAAGAAAAACAAGGTGGAGGCAGCACTCAATCCTAGGCGCTCTGATACATGATGCTCCCATCCGGGCTTAACTCTTTGCTAAACACCTGCCCCAGAACTAGTGTCTTTATACAAGGCTAGAGGGGACTAGCCAAGCCCTTCACGCCCTTCTACTCCCCTTCCATGGGAGGGCCAGCCAGGAGATCCTCACCAAACCCCACAAGCTGGTACCCTGGCTTTAGACTTCCCAGCCTCCGTCACGGTAAGAAGTTTCTGTTCTTCCTACGTGACTCAGTCTGCGGTGCTTTGTCACAGCAGCAGAGGGACACAGCTACACGTTTTCAAGCTCCGTGTCTCTGCCTTCCATGGAAACCTCCACCCATCGCAAGCTGAGCCTGCGCCTGCCCCCAAACCAAAAGGCAACTGCTCTCAGGTTTTGCACAGAATGGAAAAACAGTCCTCCTCCAAGACTTCCACCTCTCAGATAACAGCTCTTAGGAACACCAGTCTGCAATGTACTCCCTGCACATGCTCACGGGGCGGGGTGCATCTCCTGCTAGCCGTGGAGATCCGCTCCAGGCCTTATCTTACTCGCCCAATCTCAAACCCCCGTGATCACCCCATCTCGAAAGGCTTTCTCCAGAACCATGGTTCCCCCTAGTACCCCCGCTGCTTCTCTCTCAGCCCCCTCCCACTGGACACCTAGTCCACGGCAGAGTCCCGTCCTGCTGTCTGCCTTCCTTCCTTCCTTGACCCACTTCCTTCAGCAACCTCATTCACTTTCATTCAATATTTATTGAGTGTCCAATCTGTGGCCAGCTTTGTTTCAGCAACCGACATCCATCCTGTTGGCCAGACAGGAAAGCGGGGGTCACGCCAGGCACTCCCCTGTCTCCCAGCTCTCAGCACAAGGAGAAGGCAGCCTCTCCCCAAGATCTCCGTTTAGTAGCTGCGCCAAAGTGGTTACAGTATATGCTAACTGCAGAATGAACAAGTATGCTCCCTCCACCATGCCCACAAACCTGTATCTGTGCTTATCTCGTCCTCAATGGTTTCACTACACCAGGCTCCCTAGTGAAACGAAGTGACTTCAAAAGGTTACCTTTTAGCTCATTTCTCCCACGAACTCTTTGAAGTACCCTCCTCTATTTAATTTGCTTGTTTCTGAGCCAACAGAAATGGGATCCTACTTTGCCTGCTCCTGCAATTCATTTTATTCTCTCAACATCACGTGTGTGCATCTGACCTACTTAGCCTTAGCTTTGATCTCAGTGGCTGGTCCTGGCACAACGTGTCGTGCACGTCAGGTGCTCAGCGGACACCGCAGGACGGTGCTGGGCCCGGTACGTCCACAGCATAGTCAGGCAGCCCCGATGAGGCAGGTGTAATTGTTCCATTTAGGAATGAGCGTGTTCAGATGAGGTATAAGCTTCCGGGGAAAGGCCAAAAAGTCAAGTGCATCACTTAGTGCAAATCTCGGCCGTGCACAGCTACCAGCCAACAGCACCACCTCATCACATAATTTGACAAGCGCGTTTTGTAAGGCAAACGCAGGAAGAATTAATACAGCTTGACCACTGTACCGATATTCCTGCATATGCATCTCCCCATTGCTGCAAACCAAGAGAGAGGGAGCAGACAGAGGTCCTGCCTCCCCCAGTCCTGTAAGTACTTCCTTAATTAACACAGACGGTGGAGGCGAAAACAGTAATCAGCTAATCCTCGGGCCATCAGACCAGCAGGCCCAGGTCTTTCACAGCTACCAAGGTATCTGCTTTGTCCGTCTCCACTGATGGATGTTTCAGGGTTGGTACCCGTCATCTCCTGAACTCAAAGAAATCCTGGCACCGGCACCCCAGGGGTTTCTGATGTGGCTGATAGGGGCTGGAGCTGGGCGGGGGCGGGGCGGGGCTGGGCTAGGCCTCCACTGCGCAGCAGTTTGCCAAGTATTCTGTCCTCCTGCGGCGCGCCTGGCTCGGCGCCTACAAGTTAAAGCTTGATCTGCCGGGAAGAGGGGAAAAGGTGGCGCCCGGAGCACTAACGCCAACCGGGAGAAGTCAAAGAGCGCAGTGCCAGAGGGAGCAAGGCCCGCAGGCCAGAGGCGAGGGACCACGCCCCCTGCCTTGCACCTGTCTATGGGACTCCGGTTAGAAAAAGCTTCAACCCAGGAGTGGGTGGGTCCAGTGCAACCCAGTCCCCAAGGCCTCAGGAACTCCCAGGTCACGATCAAGCGCAAGGCCGCCAAGGCTGTGTGGGGTGGGCCCTCGGCGCTCCGCCCCAGGTCCACTCCACGTTAGAGGCAACCCAGGAGCCTCGCTCACCTCCAAACCGCAGTGCGGAGCTCTTCCCGCGCTGGGGGACCCGCTGGGGGCGGGCTCAGGCCCTGGGCGCCCCGGGGAGGGGGCGGAGCGCACGAGCGGCGCAGCAAACTGGCGACTCCGGCCTGCACGTGGCGCAGGCAGGAGAGGCCGCCCAGGGATGCGCCGGCCACGGGGCGCGGACTACAAGTCCCGACAGGCCTCGGGCAGGGGCCGGGCGTGCGCAGTGGGTCCTGGGAGGGGCGGGGCGGGGCCTCCCGGCTGTCAGCTGTGGCCCCAGGCGCCCGGGCGGGGGTGGCCGCGGCCATTGGCAGAGAGGGGCCGGCGGGCGGGCAGGCGGGCCAGGCGGAGCGGCTGGGGAGGCGCGGCCCGGGCTGCTGCATTCGGCCTGGCCATGGCAGCGGCACCCCTGAAAGTGTGCATCGTGGGATCGGGAAACTGGTGAGCGGCAGCGGACGCGCGCGCGAGCTCCGCCCCCAGGAAGCCGCTGTCTCCGGGGGCGCACCGGGCGGCGTGGGCACCGGGCACCGCGCGCGCGGGCGACCTCGCGGCCAGGCTGGGCACCGTGCGCCCGGGGGGAGGCCGCGCCGGGGCCCCGGCTCGGGAGGGGCTGGGCGGGCGCGCCCGCGGGGGGCCACCTGTCTGCGCCCGGGCCACCTGCCCGCCACGCCCGCGTGTTTGGCGCGGCCGGCGTTGCCTGCTAAGGCCAGGCTCTCGGGGTCCTGGGAACGTGGTATCCGGAAGCAAAGCCAAGTTCAGCAGGCCGCGCTGCTACGGGCGTCGCGGATTCCCCGGGGAGGCGTTTGCGGTGCTGTGTGTCCCCGCCGGGCTCGGTGGGACTTGACCGGGAAGAGAGCGCGTGGTGCCCCGGGCTCTGGCCAGCGCTTCGCAGATGGCAGCCCTGTGGGTGCCCTTCCCGGGGGGATTCCTGGTGTTGGGGAGGAAGGCAGAATATGGCATCTGGCACTTGCAGCCCGTTTTTGCTTTGCGCGCACTCTTTCTCACCCTGGGTGAGGGCCTGACATAGAATAGCTGGGCGGGACCCTGTCCTGTAATGGCTTGTGCCCACTTGTCCTTTCCCGAGGCTTGGCATGCCCCACAGTTGGGTCTTCTAGGAGTCCTGTGGCAGGTACTCGAGGTACTTAGTGCTAGGAAGTGCATCTCGCGGCAAACCTTCCCTGGTGCCTCAGCAAAGCAAGGGCCCCCTCCCCGCGCGCCTGGCGCCCACACTGTAGTGACTTGTCAGGTGCTCTGTCTCTACTCCCCACCCGGCTTTGGAGAAGAGCACCTGCCCTCCGGCCTGACGCTGGCTAAGTAAATGCTACACGAATGTCCAAAAACTAGTTTTTAAGATTTATTTATTTATTTGAGAGGCAGAGTAGAGAGGTCTTCCATCCGCTGGTTCACTCTCCAAATAGCCACTGCTGCTGGAGCTGGGCTGATCTGGAGCCAAGAGCCAGGAGCTTCTTCCGGGTCTCCAACATGGGCGCAGGGGCCCAAGGACTTGGGCCATCTTCTGCCGCTTTCCCCAGGCCATAGCAGAGAGCTGGATCGGAAGAGGAGCAGCTGGGACTCGAACCGGTGCCCATATGGGATGCTGGCGCCCCTGGTGGAGGCTTAAGTTACTAAGCCACAGCGCTGGTCCCTGAAAACTAGTTTTTAAAACTGTATTTGATTAGGTAATACATCCAGGCATTTAAAAAAAAAAAAAAAAGCAAACAGTGCCAAAAAATACAGGGAAACATTTCCCATCTGCGTTTGTCCCCCTACGTACCTCCTGGACGACAGCCTGTTAGTAACTGCTCTGTGCTTTCTGGAGGAATTCCACCAGACCCAAGCAAACGGTTCCCCAGATTCCTGTAAACAACTACTAGTTTGGACTCCAGGGTTTTACGCACTTTTCTGTAAGCTGCTTTTTTCAACCCGTGAAAGAGCGTTTCACACAGCAGTTCATGGACTTGGTCCCCGTCCACTGCAGAGCTTCATTTACACTCAAAGCTTGGCTCTGCCCCGGGGACCCCAAGGTCACTCGAGTGAGGTGTCAGCTGCCCAGTTGGCCGTGTCCCTGGAAAAGCGCTTGTTCTTCTAACTATAGTTTCCTCTTCTGTAAAATCCCACAGATGCCACCCCTGTCCTCCTCTGCCAGGGGCAGCAGCTTGGCCACACTGCGTTTGAGTCAGAGCAGTGGAGGGGACCCCCTGCCTGCTTCCCCGGGGATGTGGCTGCTGCATGCTCACGTGCTCTGCTGTTTTCTTGGCCCACTGCAGCCCCGAGACATGGGGTAAAACTTGGCCAGTGAGGCTGAGGCAGAGCGATTGAGAAACGTGCCGGTGGTTTGGGCTGGCTGCCTGGCTCCGCTAATTATGGCATCAGCTGGGAAGGGTTGCGTCTTCTCGGTCACTGCCATGGGTGCAGAGCCGCTTCAGTCCTAGACAGCAGAGCACAGGCTCCCCAGAGAGCTGGAAACTGAGCGCAGCCCGAGGGGCGGGGGTGCACTTCTGGTCCAGTGGACCCCATGGAGGTACTGAGGTCTTTCTAGGTAGCCAGCCACCAGTGGCTCCAATCCCTGCCCTCGAGCCACATACCTCCGGGTCTGAGAATGCATAGGGGCATGGAAGATCAAAAGAAATACAAAGTCTGAGATGAGATGGTACCTTTTACACAGCGCTCCTGCAAGTCTGGTGGCAAGATCAGGTGCATGGGTGTTACCCCTGAAGCTACACTCGCAGAATCCCATTCCTGAGGGCGGGACAGACAGATTGCCCTCCCCCAAGGTCCTTTGACCTGCTGATTTTAGAACAACTCACCAAGAGGTAGACCTGCCCTTCCGGATTGCCCCCCCCCCCCCCCCCCCGCCAGGAATGTCAAGTTGCTTAAGCAATATTTACTCTTGGGATTTGGACCTCGCCCAGGCTGCTCATGAAGATGGGGTGTTGTCGCTCTGAAGCTCAGAGGTGAAAGGTACTCCAGCCCTCGGTGAGTGTCTCGCCAGTGTCGCCTGTCTCACCTGTCGTCCGCTTCTCTGAAGCTGGCTGGCTGGCTTGCCAGGCACCTGGGCGGGAAAGGAAGAGGGTTATGTAACGTGCCATTGTTGCGGCCCTTGGCGAACCTTCTTTGCCCCGGAAAGGCCAGAGGGAGGAGGAGGCCTGAGGAGGTGCCCTTGGCATCGACCTGAGCCCTGCTTTGCTGGGGTGGGGGCTTCCTAACCTGCGTGACTTCTCAGGCTGTGTCTGTGCCTTGTGCCTTGGGGAAAAAAAAAACAAAAGCCAAACCAGAGGGGAACCAGGTTTCCTTACCAGTGTCTTGGGAGGGTAATCCACACACAGCCCAAATCCAGGTGAAGAACTAAGACCATGGGACCTGATTGGCAGGAAAGCGAGCGTCCAGACACACAGCCCGAGCCACCTGTGGGAGTCCCGCTGCCCGGGCCGCGCTTGGCAGCCCACCTCTCTGTTGCTTACAGCACCGGTCTTGCTGTCGGGGATTACGGTTAGGATTACGGGAGCTGATCCGGGGCGTGTGCGTGGTGACGAGCACCCCGTGAGCGTCAGCCGCTGCTCTCATTGGTTTCCCCATCCTTGTCCAGAGCCTTTATTAAGGCACGCAATGCACTGGTTTGGAGTCAGGCCAACCTGGTGGAGGATGGGGGAGAAGACAAAACCCCCGTGGAGAGACTGAGGTGTGGCTGGAGCACTGCCCATCTCGTCTCAGCTTCTATCACCCCTCAGCCAGACGCTTGCTCCGAGACTAAAGACCAGGGAGAGCTTTTGCCCACTTCGCGTGGACGACCGTAGCTGCGTGTGGGCCTCGTCTGCTCGGGCTCCTGGTGCCGGTGCTCTGTGCTGCTCAGTCCCTGTTGTGACCCGGCTGCTTCCTGGCTCCTCTGGGGCCAGGCGTAGTCCCTTCCCTGTGCGCGGTGGCGCCATCTGCCCTCGGCTGTGGGAGCTGCATGCAGACTTGCGTGAGGAATGGGCTGGCATATTCAAGGTTCCCCCGTGCACCAGGGTGAGAAAATTTGTGCAATTAGAAAGAAAAAGGATACTTCGGCAGCAGTGTGTATCATTCCCCCACCTGCTTGGTATAAAAACCACCAGTACTAGGGCCAGCGCTGTGGCATAGCAGGTAAAGCCACTGCCTGCAGTGCCAGCATCCCATGGGAATGCCAGTTCAGGTCCTGGCTGCTCCTCTTCTAGTCCAGCTCTCTGCTGTGGCCTGGGAAAGCAGTGGAAGATGGCCCAAGTGCTTGGGCCCCTGCACCCACATGGGAGACCCAGAAGAAGCTCCTGGCATTGGATTAGTACAGCTCCAGCCATTGCAGTCATCTGGAGAGTGAACCAGTGGATGAAAGACCTCCTTCTCTCTCTCTCTCTTTGTCTCTCTCCCTCTCTCTCCCTCCCTCCCTCTCCCCCTCCTTCTCTTTCTTCTTTCTTGTTTGAAAGGGAGAGTGAGAGATCTTGCATCTCCCAGTCAATCCTCAAGTGGATGCAACCTCAGGCTGAAGCTAGGTACCAGGAACTCCATCTGAGTCTCCCACGTGAGTGGCAGGGGCCCAAGCACTTAGGCCATCATCTGCTGCTTCTAAGGTGCACTAGCAAGGAAGCTGGATTGGAAGCAGAGCAGCCAGGACTCGAACCTGTGCTGTCACATGGGAACGGCTGGTGTGCGTGGCAGCTTAAGCCACTGCGCCGCAATGCCCACCCCAGCCTTGCACCTCACCTCTCCTTTCTCCTGCTCCATCTCCTCCTCTCCCTTAGAGAGATCAGAGTGGCCACCCCTTAGGGATCGTTTTCTCTATGTCTGTTATTTCACTAAATTTCTTGACAACCCCTGTGGTACTATTATTATCCCCATATGACATAACTGGCATTTAGAAAAAAATGTGTTCACTGTCAGCTAATAAGGTGGTGTTGAAACCCAGATCCTCTCTCTGCAACTCCGTGTCCCTACAGATTCTTTGCATTTCCAGTGAGAAGCATGCTTTTAACTGGAGAACAAATCTCGTCATAAAAATGTAAGGAATCTATTCTCCCAGGGAAAGCCCAACCTGGGATTCCAGTCAGGAGAAACCAAGTAGAAACGAAGTCTCAGGAAGCATAATTTCTCCCTAAAGCAGGACCGGATCATAGTTTACTCTTTATTTAAAATATTTGTTTATATTATTTGAAAGGCAAAGTTACAGAGAGGCGGGGCGGGGGGATCGTCCATCCGCTGGTTTACTCCTCAGATGGCTGCAATGGCAGGAGCTAGGAGCTTCTTCTAGGTCTCCCATGTAGGTATGGGGGCCCAAGCACCCAGGCCATAGCAGAGAGCTGGATTGGAAGTGGAGCAGCTGGGACCCAAACTGGTGCCCATATGGGATGCCAGTACTGCAGGCCCAGGATTAATCTGCACCATGGTGCCGGCCCCGTTTTTTTTTTTTTTTACTTTTTTTTTTTTTTTTTTTTTTGACAGGCAGAATGGACAGTGAGAGAGAGAGACAGAGAGAAAGGTCTTCCTTTGCCGTTGGTTCACCCTCCAATGGCTGCCGCGGCCGGCGCGCTGCAGCCGGCGCACCGCGCTGATCCGATGGCAGGAGCCAGGAGCCAGGTGCTTCTCCTGGTCTCCCATGGGGTGCAGGGCCCAAGCACCTGGGCCATCCTCCACTGCACTCCCTGGCCACAGCAGAGGGCTGGCCTGGAAGAGGGGCAACCGGGACAGAATCCAGCGCCCCGACCGGGACTAGAACCTGGTGTGCCGGCGCCGCTAGGCGGAGGATTAGCCTAGTGAGCCGCGGCGCCGGCCTCCGTTTTTTTTTTAAGGTTTATTTATTTGAAAGACAGAGTGACAGAGAGAGAAAGGGAGAAGGAGAGACAGAGGGAGAGATTCCGTTTGCTGCTTCAGTCTCCAAATGGCTGCAATGGCCAGAGCTGGGCCAGGGCACAGCCAGGAGCCTAGAACTCCATCCCAGTCTACCGCTTGGGTTCAAGCGCTCCAGCGCTTGGGCCATCTTCTGCTGCTTTCTCAGGCACATTAGTGGGAAGCTGGGTCAGAAGTGGAGCAGCCAGAACTTGAACCAGCACCTGGGGGCCTGGCATCACGGTGCAGCAGGTTAAGCCACCACCTGGGAATCCAGCATCCCATGTGGGCACACCTTTCCAGCAAGGGGCTTTTCCCGTCTGCAGATTTAGGGGACCCCTAGCCTCTTACATGATTGTCTGTATACTTTTTGTACTTATGGCTTGCAGCCAACTGACATACAGTTGACATCAAGACCCAGGACGCTCAGATACAACCGGACACAAATTGTTTCACAGTTGCAAGTGTTGCTGTGAGTGTGTGGGGAGCAGCCCGGACTGGACTGAGTTACTGGAATTAGGACTTATTCTGTGCATCTGCTCTCCCACAATATGGCGCTGGGAGAGGAGAAAACAGCTTCTACGCAGCTGCCTCCAGTTCAACCAATAAACTGTAGGACTTGCTCCTGATTGGTGGAGAGCAGCGTACTCGGCGTGTGGGCAGCCGAGTTAGGATTGGCGGAGGAGGACTATAAAGGAGGAGAGAGACGGCATGCACCAGGAACATCTATGGGGAACATCTACGGGGAACACCTGTGCAGCCCCCGAGAGAGCCGGCCGGCGGTGTGCCGCTCCCCTGCGGAAGTGGGGAATGTGGCCAGGGGGAACTGCCCTTCCACGGAGGTGGAAGGGATAGTAGCCAACCCGGGAAGAACCAGCAGCAAACCCGGGGAGGGCCGAGCAGACGAAAGAACAGCGCAGGGTCCTGTGTCGTTCCTCCACGAAGAGGGGGAGCGACATAATGGTGCCGTGACTCGGATAGGAAACCTAGGACGGATAGAAAACCTAGGAGAGAAGAAACGGGAAGAAGCAGGAAAATACCGGAGAGAGAGACTAGCGAAGAGCCTAGGGGAAAGCCGGACGAGAAAGGTGCCGGAAGAAGCTATTGAAAGCCTAGGCATAGACTTGGATATGGACTGTGGGAAAGAAGTTAGGATTGAAAGCGAAAGTGAAAGCTTTCATAGACTCGGATGCGGACTATGGCGGGGAAGCTAGGAGATTGAAAGCGAAAGTGAAACCTGGAGGAGGCTTGGACTCGGATATGGACTGTGGGAAAGAAGTTAGGATTTAAAGTGAAAGCAAGAAGAAACTTAGACTTAGATACGGACTGCAGGTTTAAAGTGAAAGTGAAACCTATAAGAAACTTAGACTTGGATACGGACTGTGGGGAGAGGCCAGGAGAAATGAGGGAGGAATATTGTTGGAAGAAAACTTAGGGAAACATACCGGGTAGAGAAAAATGTTAGGGAGGATGAAGCCGCGAGTGCAGGCCAAGCCATCTTGGAATTCTTCAAGTCAGCCCGGGGAGCAAGAGGCAAAGATCTGGAACCAGAAGCAGAGACGTGGGCCGCCAGGATTCGCCAGGTTAGTCCGGGGAACTTGGACTGAATGCCGGTGGTGGCGGAAACATTCGCGGAAGCCGCCGCGTGCAGAGAGAGCACGGGGCGTGAATAGATAGGGAACGCGGGGCTGGCGCGAGGCCGTGGTACGGGCGCGAAGTGCGTGGAGACCGCGGAGCGTGCGCGCAGAGCCGGGAACCCGCCGGCGGGGCGAGGCGCCGGGAAGCCGCGCAGAGCCGTGAAGCTGCCGCGGGGCGAGGTGCCAAGAAGCAGCCTCGGGGCAAGCGCCGCCGGGAAGCCGCAGGGATAAGAGAAACAGAAGTTTAGAAGTAAAATGAGAGAAATGGGAATGCTGGAAGATGGAAGTAGAATGGGAGAAATAGGAATGCCCGGACATAGAGAAATAGAGAAATAGAAAGGCCTCCCCACAACATGGCAATGAGAAAGCTTGGATTCGGTCTGCCCATTAGTGAGGCGATGAGCACCTGCGGCGGCTAGCAGCTTATGCGCCGCAGGTCACCGAAGACAGGCACGAATTAACATCAGTAAGGCCTCCCCACAACACAGCAATTAGGAGGCTTGGATTTGGTCTGCCTGATTAAGGCGGTAAGCACCAGCAGGCAGCTCGACCAGAGTGTGAGCCGCAGGTCACCGAACACAGGCACGCATCAGCGCCTAAAAACCTCCTCACAACATGGTGAAGAGAGGACCCGGATTCGGTTTGCCTGATTGATAGGACTTGTAAGAACCTGTGGCAACTCTAGCAAGTAGAGCAGAGTGTGTGCCGCGGGACACCGAAGACAGGCGCGTATCAACGCCAAAAAATAAAAAGAAAGGGGGATCTGTGGGGAGCAGCCCGGACTGGACTGAGTTACTGGAATTAGGACTTATTCTGTGCATCTGCTCTCCCACAATATGGCGCTGGGAGAGGAGAAAACAGCTTCTACGCAGCTGCCTCCAGTTCAACCAATAAACTGTAGGACTTGCTCCTGATTGGTGGAGAGCAGCGTACTCGGCGTGTGGGCAGCCGAGTTAGGATTGGCGGAGGAGGACTATAAAGGAGGAGAGAGACGGCATGCAC